CATGAATGCGCGCGCGCTTCTCTGTCTCGTTGACCGATATCGATACCTCGATAGTCCGATTATTCGGTCTCGATCGATGGAGGATGGAACGCGTCCGGTCTCGGGCAATCGGAGATTACCCGAAAAGCGCGGTACAAGCTTTCCGTTTCGTCGTTGGGGGGGGGGGGGGGGGGGGGGTGAAAGTCGACTTTGCCAAAAATTCCGTTCGCAAGCGTACCTTCTCCGCGTCTTACGAATTTTCGTCTCGCTCAGGCCATCTCGTCCCGTAGAACATCCCGCTCTGCGCTTTGCCGAGTGTCGCCTTAACATAAAAGTAGACCGATATTTCTCGCGTGATTCGTAGACGCGACGAGCGTCTTTGTTTCTGCTAAACGCGAACGAGAAGGTAAATATCGCGTTAAAGCGGCGAGATAGCTCGACTTTAATACCCGCCTGCTATCGCGTGACCGAGCGCGTTCCTTTGGCGAAAAGTTACGGTTATTCTCGTCGGACAGAGTCACCGACTTTCGAGCTTGGCCCAAGCACGATCGACAGACGAGCTGGATCGGTCGTGTTTCCTTCCAACCTTTGCGAATTTCTCCGTCTTTCGCCGAAAATAATCGCAGTTCGTCTATCGTCGTCAGAGTAGTCGTCAGAGTTGTTTACGACGAAGGATCGACCTCGTCTAATTGGGTAACGAGCAGCGACTATCTTCGCGAATCGCGGACCTTCTTTTCCGAGTGATATTCGTTCTCGTTAACGCATCGCTGCTAATCGAAAGCTAAATATCGGTTTGAAAAGCAAGGCGAGTCGAATAGAACAATCCGTGGAAGCGAGCGTTCGTTTCGAAGCTGGTATCGAGGAAAGGAAGGAAACTGGAGAGGAGAAATGACCATTGGGGAGTTATTGAACGCGGTAGGATGAATCTGCATGGGCCGACAGAGCCGGTGCGTGAAAAGCGTAAAATAAAAGGGGTGGAATGGAAAGAGAGAATGGGTAGCGTCGATTAGCAAGATCGCGCGAAAGGTAGCGATAATCCTCGTCGAGATTTACGCGCGCTCTTTCATCCATTCGCGTAAACGTATTTTTCCGGTTCCGTAGTGGTCGACTTCTCGGTAGACTACAAGTGGGAGTTTAACGTTGTCCGATTCTCCGTGTAGAATTCAGCCGAATCGTATAGATTTTTCCTCCACGAGCGTAAACACGGGTATGAAATTGACGCGTAAACGTTAAGAGGTTTGCTTACCGACCATTACCTACGCAACGTGACGCGAAGCTGCAAGGTCTGATCGCAACCACGACTCGATCACTGTAGCCGGATACGTGGCCACCACGGTAGCGTAGCTAGCGAAGCCGCGCGATCCGTTTAATTGTGATCGCAAATACTATAACCGTGCGTTGCAATATCGAAAATACCTCGGTGTGATACAACTAGTTGCGTGATACTGGTATGCCTGTAACGAGTGACTGGGTAGAAAGGTAGCTAGATAGGTGGGTGAGTGGGTGGGTAGGTGGATAGGTTGGTTGGTTGGTTGGTAGGTAGGTAGGTAGGTAAGTTGGTAGGTAGGTTGGTAGGTTGGTAGGTTGGTAGGTAGATAGGTAGGTAGGTAGGTAGGTAGGTAGGTAGACAGGCAGGTAGGTAGGTAGAAGTAGCAGCGGAGGATAATCTCATGGAAGCTAGGCTGCGGTACTCTGCGGTACTATATGCCGCCATCTTGCTTTATCGATTTTAACCCCTACCCGTGACTCGCTTTCTCGAGCTACCAATTCTCTCGTGTTTCTTCTTTCCCTTGTTTCTTGTTAGCGACTTTTCTCCTTTCACCATTCTTCTCTATTATCGACGATCGTCGTTGTTTCTTCCGTGAAATTAAACGTACGCCCAAAGTAACGCGTACAGGTTGATTCTCGGCGTGGAACACATTCGTATCGCGTGATCGAATCGCGTGAAAGCGTTTGGCATCGCGTCGATGACGATTAACCGCTAACGAATATAGACCGCTACGCGAAGAGAGTAGCTAGTTAAGGGTTGAAGTTGGACCACCGCCGCGAGAGGCCATTTATCAATTAACGAAGCTCGCGATGCACGATTCGTATGGCGAATAATTTAATCTCGATCCGGACGTTCGATCGCGACGCGTTTCGTTGATGGAGAATCGCGATGGGAAAATTGGCAAGGGATAAAAGCAGAGATTCGCCTGTGGGTACGGGTTGCATAAATCGTGCTCGACGAAGCCGAGGTTTCCCTTGGACGCGTAACTCGGTAAGCTCGTTATCGTTGGTCTAGCAATGGCCCGGTTTGGATTTTCGGCTCTGCCGCTGTTCCGCTTTCGGAACGAAGGGTTAAAGCGACGTTTCTGCCGCGAACAATCATTATCTATAGCGTTGATTTTGCTGCGCGCCGAGTTTTATATTCCGCCACGGTAAACGTATCGTCGTACGATATCGTCGAATTTGAACCGAAAAGAACGCGTCGACGTTCGTTTACGTTTAGGGAAAAGTAAAGGCGTAACAAGCGGTTAAGGATCGTTAGCCATGGTACGCGGTTACGGCAATAATCGGATCTCCGTTGAAACGACTTTTGGAAATATCGTTATCTCTCCCGTCCGTAATAACCGACAGCTGGCATTCGTAAATGGCCTCGTTCCATTTCGACGAGACGTCGAAATGTAAATTGCTTTTACCAATTTGAAATCTATCTCCTCCGTTGCTCTACGATTTGCCGTACGATAGATCTCGGTGATCGAAAAATTCGAAAACGCGTCTTGAATGGCCGTTCGCTGGCTTGGTAAACATTTCGTTGAATCGAATAGTAGGGGTCTGCTAGTCGAAGGCACGTTACAGCGTGCGTCATTATCGCAGCTGTCGACGGTAATTTCCAGCCTGACGCGAGTCCGAACCTCTTAATTCGGAGAGAGGGTGCGAGTGTCTCGCTAAAAGTGTCGGTTAAAATAATTTTTCTGTCCCCCTCGTGACAATCGAGAACCTTTCTTTTCCCTTTGTCGGCGAATTTCCCAAGCGTGCGAATGGAAAATCCATTTCGCGTGGTTGTCGCGAGATAGCCGGAGTAGTAGAATTCGAAATGGAGTCTCGCTTAAGCAGGAGTGAACCGACTTTTCTTTCCGAGAAGAGTGGGAAATCTCGTTTGATCGGAGAGCGAATAACAGACATTTGACGCATCTCATCCAAGGATACAGGCTTTTACCCCATTTCGTTCGATTTCGTTCGATTTCGTTCGATTTCGTTCGTTTTCCGAGAAGAGTGGGAAATCTCGTTTGATCGGAGAGCGAATAACAGACATTTGACGCATCTCGTCCAAGGATACAGGCTTTTACCCCATTTCGTTCGATTTCGTTCCATTTCGTTCGATTTTATTCGATTTTCGCGAAGTCGTACGACGACGGTACGACTGGGTGACGGCGGTCTCAAAGCTGTCGGATTTTTCTCGTTGCATCGGCTCTTAATCTTGCAAATTTACGCGATAACGCTTAGCTCGGAGCAATCGTGGCGTATAGTCGGTTACCATCTCGTCGCCACATCCGACAGCGCGTGTGACGTACTTCGGCCCCTTTCACGCAAGAGGGTGAAACTCGTTTCAAAGGGGTTATTTTAGGAACAGGAAGGTGGCTGGCCGACCATGCACCGATACGAACATTTAGAAGCGCATTCTCGTTCTCTCCTTCCTTCTTTCCTTTTTTCGTCCTCTCTTTTTTGACTCGAATAAACTTGGCTTCCCGGATATTTCGCGTTCCCGTAAATCGATCGCCTTGTCGCATTCTTCCGCGAGAGGAGGGCGAAAGAGAAACGATGGATCCCGGCAAGATCGATATTCCATTTTCCTCGAGATTCCTCTTATCCTTCTTTTCGCGCGATCGATCGTTGGATCGATCGGGGTAGGTTTCGGCGCGGCGCGGCGCGGCGAAATTGGCGAAAAGAGGAGAAGGAGGCGAAAGGATAAAGGAGGAACGATTCGGGGATGTGGCACGCGAGGCGATTCCCGCGGAACGTTTCGGTGCCTGCGCTTAATTAACTTTAATTAATCTACAGCGGTGGAGTATTACTCTTTCGCCGAGATTAAGAGGAACGAGATTAATCCGGAGCCAGGGCCGGCATCTGGCACGTGTCTCGACCGCATTCCCGTAAATGTGTTTGCTCGCGTATACCCTACCGTCCTTTATCGCGAGCTCTGCATGCACGCGGCGCGTTGTACGTATTATTCGCGGACTCTTCGATCCGCTAAGCGGATTTCGAGAGAGAAAAAGCGAGCGCGAGTGATTCGGTTTTTCGCCACGCTCTCTCTCCCTCTATCGAGTAATTAAACGACTCGACGCACGAGCGATTCCGTTCTCTTGTATCTATCCTCGTATCTTTTATCGATCGTCGAACTCGACGATTCGCCACGACAGAGCGGGTCTTCCGTCGAATTATGCTTCTTCTCTAAATATAGACCGCTCGCAGATTCTACTCGGACGCCGTTAATCTTCGTCGTGATACCTTTCGCAGATAACGCAACGACGATTTCCAGCGAATGCCTTGGCGATACGCTCGTACACCTTGCAGTTATTCGCATATTTTTATCGATGCGTAATTCTACGGGAATGCAATATCGAACGGAGACTCGGAAACGTCTCGAGAGGGCACGATAACGAGCCGAGCGCGTTCTTAGATCCGTAACGCATTCCTAGCGTTCCGTAAAGTGGTTCTTCGAGAGGGAAGCGGAAGGACGATAAGAATAGGAATAAGGAGGAGGAGGAGAAGAAGAAGAAGAAGAAGAAGAAGGAGAGTAGAGATAATAAGCGCGTGTCCTAGGAGGTAAAAGCGAGGTAGCGAAGGAAAGCGAAGAACGGCGGTGAACGCGACGCAGCGTTTACGCGCGACGGTTCAGGGGAGCACTGTGACCAGGGAGAGAATATCGCGCGAACCGTGGAGCGATAGTCGGCCGGCCGGAGGGGTGGATGGCCGTGATGGTGGGGGTGCGTCGACCGCGAGCGAACACGAGAGCACGCCGAAGAGGGGGAGAGAAACGTGGGAAGGGACGAGTGGGAGAAGGTCAGGTCGCGCAGGCGCCAGCCCCGAACTTCCCACGGGCTGATCAGTCGTGCGTGGCACTTGACACGCGTTGCGTCTTTTCGTTTCAGTTCTCTCGGATTCCCTTACGGATCGCGTCTCTTTCGTCCACCCGCTTGTACTCCGCTTTTCTCTCGCTCCCTCTCTTTCTCTGTCTGTCTCTCTCTCTCTCTCTCCCTCTCTCTCCCTCCCTCTGCCTCTGCTCTCGCCGTTACCAACGTATTTCCTCTCGTCTTTTCTTTCTTTTTTTTTTTTTTTCCACTTTTCTTTCGCCCACCCTTCTCGTCCGTCCACCCGCCACGGTGTTTTCGTCTGGTTTCCCGTGTGTTCTCTGCCGTTTGCAAACTCGACCGGCATTGGAACGTTCGGTGCTTTCGTCGCAGCAGAACGACGCGGATTTCGGATCGTTCTGGATGGAAATCGCGATTTCGTCGCGACGACGCGGGACGCCAGAAACGGTGCATAGGTGAAACTCGTTCGACGAACGCCAGCCGCGTTGATCTAGGGCGAAAACTTAACCGGTGGTGTCGCGTCCAAATCTCCGAGTGCAAACTCTTGGAAGGTTGTCGCGGCTTCGATCCGATTGCCGAATCTAATCGGGACAACGAACGCCGATTCGAGTCCGCGATTCGAGTGATACACAGTGAACGATCGAAGCCTGCGCGTGACCCCGTTTCCCGATCGTGTTTCCCGATATTCTACCCGGTCAAGTTTTTCTGTGATACTCGCGTTATTCGCTCGAGCCTTGGAAACGTATACGCGGCGACCAGCGACCACGTGTCGCTTTTCAACGACGAGCAGCGACGAGAAACGGAGGACAAAGTTGCGAGTTTCTTCCGAACCGTCCATACAACTTTTTCTCACCTCGCATCTTCGCTACTGAATGTTCCATTCACGCGGCCCTCTGGCTGTCCCCGTCATCCTCGTTTTCTTCGTCGTCGTCGTCGTCGTCGTCGTCGTCGGGCTCGACATCGAGCTCGTCACCGAGATCACCGTTGATGGACAACACCGCGGACCTTTTCTCCCTTTACACCAGCTGCCTTTGACTCGATGCGAGCGGTACTCCTACGGGGGAAACAAGGATCGATATTTACGAGGTAGGAAGTGCCGTGTTCCGTTGCCGAGAAATTTTGGGTGTTTCGGCGAGGTCCGGTCGGTCGCGTTATTCGTCTTTTTGCCTGCGTCTTCGATACCGAGCAAATTTTTCGCCCGTTCTTACGTATCCACGCTTTAATCGATAAGCGCGACACGCGTTGCCGATCGAAACTCGAGTGTGATCGGGAAAAGAAAGTATCCGTGTATTACGCCGTTCTCGTTATCTCTTCCACGTTTCGCCGTCAACTATTTTACCGCGTTTTACCTACGCTCGCACTCGCCGACCTGTCTCGTCTTCCTCTCTCGAGTATCGTTTCGGGGGCGATGCAATCGCGAGAAGCGTTCGGGCGAAGCGAAGGAAATCATCGTGGAATATAGAGAGAGAGGGGGGGGGGGAGCGCGTGGTTCGCCTCTCTCGAATAATACTAGCACATATACTTGGATATTGATTTTCTAGGCGACTAGTACCCCGTGGCAAGCTCATCCGAGACTTTGGCGTCCATTCGATGTAATCGTTCCTTCTGTTGGCTTTTGGAGCTCGTGTCGCGTCGCGTCGCGGCGCGGATGGAGACACGCGTTACCCGGGTAATAATCGAGCGTGTACGCTGGTGAAACCCGGCGACACGGGACGGGACGAGTATTATTCTCGGATGTACGATGTCCGGCGCGCGTGTACGGTCGTTAGATCCGTCGTCGGTGTGTAACGACCGGATCGGTGGATTTAACGGGGTATCGTTAGGACGGTGGTCGGTAAACGAAAGATATAGCGCTTACCGAGATCCTTAAGACTCCGTCGCTTACGACCGCTTCGACCGAGCTTTGAATACTTTATTAGACTGGGACGGGTGCCGCGGTCGCGTCGAGTATTTCGCCTCGTTCTTTCCTCGATCACATCGATCCACCCTCTTCGTTACGCGCGTTTTCCGCGTGCCGTCGTTGCGAGTAACGCGACCGGCAGAAATACCCAACGATTAGCGGCGCGAACGAACGAACCGAGAAAACGAAGGAACGCGGAGAGAATTTGGCAAAGGCAACCGGTTCGAGCGATAGCTCGAATTTAATAGCCCGTGATACTAGAGCGGGCCTCAACGCGACTCGTCGCGCACGAGTTCGTGGCATTCGTGGATTACGCGCAAACGTATCGTACACCAACTTCTCGACACCGGCCGTTTTCGTTCCCCAGCTCGCGCTCGTTCCACGGAAACGCGAGGAAAACGCGAGGAAAACGCGAGGAAAACGCTGGGAAACGGTGGATTTTGTCGGCTGGTTGCAGCGAGTGGATGTCCGATGACGTTGGGTTGGTCGGAACGCGTGGCGCAGGACGCGGTGTATCCGCGAGATTAAAAATGAATTGAAACTCGAAGATTAAGAGCAACGCCGGGTATTCTCGTCGCGAAATATTCCGCGTTATCGTTATCGTTATCGCTATTTTGTGGCGGTTATTGTGGTCTTTTTCGTTGTCGTACAATAGGCGCGAGAGTCGTGACCGTAATAACGAATTCGTTGTACCTTTCGGATTATCTTATCTCTGGTTTCGCGTGTACGCGTAGCTTCGATTTCCAGGGAAATCGTGCGATTTCCGATCGCGGCACAAATCCTTCTCGCCTCGGAACGAATCGATATCACGACCTCGATATCGATAACGAACGAGAACGAAAGTTACGAAAGAAACGCAACGCGCTTCTTCGATCGATAGAAACGGATCGATTGGCGAAAGGACTAAAGGGCGAGCTTCTTTCTTCTTCTTTTCCCTCGCCGTTTACACGCGCGTTGGCGGGTTTCTCCGATTCGTCGTAATCCACTCGACGCGCGTCCCGTTCTTTGCCGGGAAAAACGATTTCGCTACGGAACGGAGCAATCGAGCCGATCCATTCGATGCTCCGCGGATCGCGAAACGAACGTTGGTAACCACGGAATCGATTTATCGGTTCTCGCGCGCGTTTCCGTATCGCGCGATGAATAAATGGACGGGCAAAGATGGTGCGCCCGTTTGCGTCCTCGATGGCTATCTTTTCGCATCCGTACGTACGTACGAGACGGTCGGTTACGCTCGGTAAACGAAGAGAGAGTCGATTCGGGTAACGTCTGGCAGCAGTCACCTTTATCGACCCATCGTCGGGCTTGCAGCGTGCAGCGACTTAGGAACCCCTGCGCGATCAAGGCCGCTGGGTGAAAAAAAGCGGGAAATACTTTGACTCGGGGGAAACACGGAGCACTGGCTCGGCGAAATTGAAGAGGGTCGTTTGATTTATGGCGGAGCCGTCCTAGGACCCCCTTTCCTTCGCTTCACGCTCGAATTTCGCTAGTTGTCCGCCGCGCACACGCGCACACGCGCAGCACCCTCTGCGGAACGCTCGCGCTTTCATCCAGTTTCACCCCCGTGGTTCTGTCCGTCGATCGAACTTTGATCGCGAGTCGACCTGTTTCTCTGATCGAACGTGTCCTTTCTGTTTCAGATACGTAATCGCGGTGGATTCGTTTCCACCGGTATCTCGAATTCGCAACCGTCGCACGGCTACCGTTCGATCGGTCGATACATGTCATCTCCGATGCTAAGGATACATGTGGAAGGTAATGATGAAACGTTTGCTTGCTCGTTCGTCCCTCTCTCTTCGTTTCTCTTCCATCTTTCGTTGCATCGATTCTTTCGGTATCGCGGACGGGTACGACCGTGTCGTTGGATCGCGATTAGCCGTTACGCGTTTCTATCGGGAAAATAATTTTCCAGGCGAGACGAGATTAATCGGAAGCACGGAAAGGGTGGAAAGAAAAAAACATTCGGCAAAGCATGGTATCCCGGTACAAAAAGCTTTTCTCTCCGACTCTGCGATACACGTGCAAGATACCGCGAAACGCAGTCATCGAGATATATACATATACACACACACACACATATTCGATAGCGTGTTCCTCCTTTGTTCGCCGCCAGCGAGATTCGTACCTTCCTATTTTTCGCTCGCGTATCGGTACACGTACGATACGTATGTACCCTATACCGTACCGGGAAGTATTTTTTTTCTTCTTTATACGCAAACCGACGTACGATCGATGGGAAGAGTGGAAGGGATAGTCGGCGAAGCGAGCAGCCCGTTATACCGAGGGTATCTCTATGACAGCTGCGAATTTCGAATCGAAATTCGTCGTTTGGTCGTTTCGGTGTTTCGAGGAAACGCGTACGACGAAAGAGACGAAAATTGGACGAATCGCGCAATGCCGGTGGGAACTGGATCCGGGTGACAACAACGTATCCGACGAGTCAGTTACTTGGCCGCAAAGATTTTTCTGGTCCGGCCAAGCGTTTCTCCTTCTCACCGATTCGACTAGTTTCCAGCGTTCGTCGCGTTTAGAGACGCTAACGAAACTCTAGTCGTATTTATTTCCACGACGACGTTTACGCGATCGATATGCGAGTGGTTCGCGATCGAACGGAGAAAGCACAGGGTTTCGATGAACAATTAGACTAGCTCGCGAGCCCGTCGCCAGCGTCTTTCGTTATGTTCTGCAACGTTGGTCGAGAAAACGATCGATTACGCCGATTACGCCGATTACGCCGATTACGCCGATTGCCGCGATTACGTCGACTTGGATCGTTGACGATCAAACGCGACTTTCGAACGACCCGTAGCGCCTGCGACGCGACCTCGATGACCTCGGCGACCTCGGTGACCTCGAGCTCCAATGACACGATTATCCACGCGGAAGACCTAACGCGATTACCGCCGCGTCGATTCGTCGCGAATGGAACGTTCCTTCCGTTCCTCGCACCTCGCGTTTATCGAAAAAAAGAAAAAAAATGATACTTTCGCCTATCTGTCTATCTTTCGTTACGTATCTTTACACAGTAAGCGTGCGCGCGCGCGTGCTCTATCGATTTCAATAAAGAGGGATTTACCGAGCGTATCGCGTGCCAAACGGCGAGTACCAACAGGCAGAAGAATCGAGGTGCTTTAAAGAAGGGATACTCGTGAAAGATGGCCGGATTAATAGACGCGACGGTTATTCGCGATAAAGGCTAAAACGCGATACGGATTAGCCGGAAAAACGACAAAGTTGATCGCGTTGCGTCGCTCGGTGTTTCGCGTCCTCCTATATAGAGACGTCGCTAGAGACGACGGGAGAGGGTGGCCGAGAGAGAGATCACGGTTACAAGAGGCCGTCTATTTGCTTCCTATACGCAAATGCGATAATTAGCCCTTCGCTTAGAGCGAATGGAACGTAGTTGGCTGGCGTATTTGCACCGAGCACGGCTCGTTTCCCGATTAATGGACGCTTCCGCAGTCTCCGGCAGAAATCTCTTTTCACCGAGCTCTCGAGCCTCTTTCCGCTCGAATAATCGCGCTGCCTCTTGGCGGTGTTTTATTCGGAAAACGGATGTACGTAGACGGTAGCGACGAGCGGGATGGAAGATGGTTGGGTTTTCGAGAAAAGGGGAAAAAGCGTGTCGGAAATGTCGGCTGCCGAGGAATATAATAATACCCTCGGCGCGTCGCCGTCGATGAATTTGCCACGCGCTCGCCGTTTCGGCCAATGAATATTCATCGGCTATCGGCGGGGACACGCGTAACGCGGCAACGCGCGACTCTCGTACGCAGATTGAATAATAGTTGCACGCGCGATATACGTTAGATGTAATCGCGGTGTTAATGGGAACGCTCGGAGATACCTTTTCGTCCACGCTCGCGTCTACCGTTTATCCTCGGATCTCCTCGTTCACCGTCCGGAGAAATTTATTTCGACGTTCCGCCGTGCATCTCGGCCATTCGAGCAACGGCGGAGTCGCGCTAACCGAATTCTCGAAATAATTTTCCTTTGTTCGAAAGCGTGGAACACGGTGGAAAATTCCAATCGAGATTCCGTCGTTGCCCCTTTAAACGAGGCGAAAGATCGGCGTAACCGCGTAAGCGAGTTACTCGAGCGAGAAAAATATTTGCCTTTCGCTTCACGGGAAAATATTTTTCCTAAAAATCCTCGCAATTATCCGCTCGGTATCTCCGCGCTACTCGTACTCGCTATCTCCGTCGCGTACTTTCCGCGATAAACGAGAACCGTATCGGTGACGCAAATTCGATCGAGCGATCCGGAAGACTCGGTCGGATTAAAATTAGCGGAACGGATTTTCGAGGCAAAGGGCGGAGGTAGCCGAGTTGGCGCGCTGCGGTGCCGAAGCAGAGGGGTGAACGAAAGGGAGACGAAACGGTGCTGCAGCGACCAGTGGACGTGGACTGGTGGATACCACCGGTCGGACTCGTTCCATTAATTACTCGGCATCGAAGATCGGTCAGTGCTCGGTCAGCCTCGGCCAAAGGATCCCGGCAGACAATTACGTTAAACCGGCTTTTGTTTGCGGATCCGTGTAACAACGCTGGACACGTTTTGCACCCTTCGTTATACCCTTCGAATTACCTCCTACTCGGTCATCGTCATCCGAAAGGAAATTATTCGTAATCCACGCGAACGTCTCGTCGAATCGATCGCCGAATAAAGGAATACCGCGCTCGGCGCGAACAATCTTCGACCGCTATTCCAATTCGTAGAGCGGGATCGTCGATGACGGTGGCGAATGACGTTTCGATCCCGCGATCGGATCACGCGCCGTGCGCGGCGACGATTTCGATTTCCGTTCGAGGACAACCGGCGAGGAGCCGCGCTTAAAACTCCTATGAATTATTTATTCGATATCGAGGAAACGAGTGTCAGCCGCGTTCGTACGCGTTCTCGTGTTTCCTAGTTTGTTTCGTTCGAAGCAACTCGAACGAGAGAATGCAATTTCGTCCATGGAATATTCCTCGTTTATTATTCGTGGATCTCGGTGAAGAAACCCGGTGTGCTGGTATCGGCGCTTCGGCGCGTTGATCAGACGGGAGAGGAAACGCGTGGAAAGGTTCTTGGACGCGTTTATTCGTCGGGGTTCGCGCATTAGCAAGGGGTGCGCGTATTATCTCTGCCGGTACGACAACGGTGCGTATCGCGCAGCTTTACACCCTCCTGCCATCGCCGTCACCGGTGATGAAACCATTTTCGAGTCGCTCGTCGGCTTTTCCCGGCAAGGGTGACATTGGAAAATGTGAAATGCGGCACTTTGGAAACGGGATAGGACGCGTGGCTGTTGCACCGAACGGTGCTCACCGATACGTTTCTGGTATCGACCGCTGGTGGACCGTTTGGGAAAGCGAGTGTTCTCCGAGTGCTGGAAGCTTGACAACGCGTTACCTCGTGCACGCGAGAACCTTCTCTATTCATCCTCTTCGTATCCTCTTCGTATCCTCTTCGTATCCTCTTCGTATCCATCTCTTTGATGCGCGCGAAATGAAGAAAATATTTTTATACCAAACACGACGAAACGGAATTTTATTTGCCGCGATAAACGACTCCTTCTCCCCGAGACCACTCGTCGAGTCGATCCTTTGCCAAACGCGGAATCGAGAATCGTCGATCCGGAATCGCGTACTGAATGCAAGAGTTTTGCCAAAGTACAACGCGCGCGAGCAATCTCGAGAGAATTTAGCCGGAATTCAGTCGTTTCGGCCTCGAATTCGCTTCGTTCGAGACGTGGGCGAGTTTTTTGGTCGTTCTTTTCCCGCCTTTGTCCGGTATTTAATGGAACGACTTAAAGGCGAGCAACGAACGGAACATGCAGAGGACGGTGATGAAATAAAGGGAGAAATTCGGTATATGCTTTGCATCGAACTTTATTACGTATTTTATTCTACGCAGCGAGATACGTGTACGCGTACAAGTAGTATATATACGTTTGTCTGTTAATGGTTAGTAACGCGGAGAAGAACGCGGCCAAGTGGCGAGCAAGATCTCGCGGATGGATGGAACGATGCCGGCGTGCTGCTTGGGCGCGGGTGGTTGGGTGGTTGTTCGTGCATCTCGATCAGATCTGTGCGGCCAGAGCTCTGGATAGAGCGGTCGAGATCGGGTGCAGTCGTCGTGATTAAGTCCGAACGGTGGGTGGTGACTCGGCCTAGAGAACGTAGTAGGGCGCGGAGTAGGAAGCGGCGTAGTACGGATATCCGGTGTACGCAGCGTAAGGGTAGCTGTAGGCAGCCGAGTAGGCTACCGGCGCGGTGTACGCGCTATAGGCGACAGGAGCGGTGTAAGCCGCGCCTACCAGCAGTCCTCGCTTGTCCCGAGGCACGGCCTCCGCTTCCTGTCCTGCCACGATTTCGGACTTGACCGGTTCCAGCGACGACTCCGTGTCCAGAGGTTTCGCCAGAGCCGCCGTGCTGACCAGGGCGAACAAAACGAGAGCCTGAAATCACGGAGGAGAGACGTTGGCGAGAGAAACACCGACGAATCGAGGGGATACGGAGGAAAAGCGCGTAACTCGTATTCGCGAGATGGCGAGAGAGTAGAGAGCAGAGAGCGTATAGAAGGTAAAAATGGAAGAATCGAAGAACGCGGTTTACTCACTGCGATGCACTTCATGTTGTTGTAGGTGGACGAGGAGATGACGAGCTTCGAAGCGGGTCGAAAATCGATTGATGCTCGAAACATCGTGGCAGGCCTCTTTTATACCCATTCGATCGCGACGTCGGCCGTACGTGCATCGATTCTCGATATTTACCTCGCGTAATCGCGCATAATTATTAACCTCTCGGCGTTGTCGGTCACACGGGGCTGCATCGAGAACGAGCAACCTCGTCGCGGTACACTAGTGTGCCGACGCGAGATTAAGCAACACGTCCTTGGCCATTGTCCAAAGCGAGTCGTAAGAATCGTTCGACGTACGACCGATGTCGGACATTTTCGTAATTCTTTCACCGTCCGTCCGCTTTTTATTATTCGCGCGCCGCCGTTATCGTTTACGCGTTTCGTCGCGATAATCCACCGCGCGGAGATTTATCGGCGAGAAAATTTCAAAGTATCCTCGGTCCCGTGTAAATTCCTCCAACGATCGACCTTGCGGAGGTCGAAGCGAAGATTCCTAGCGTGAGGTGGAGAGAGTGGGAGTAGTCCCCCTATTGAAATTCCATTTGGGCACGTTACGCGCAACCTCGTCGCCCGTAATAATTTTCACGACGATGGTTTAGCTATTCCGTCCTTGTACCCAATTGGTCCTCGTTTGCGGCCACGAAGCCTAAATAGTTCCTCCTGCCAGTCGCTCGTGTACGCCATTGATGAACGAGAAAACGCCAAGGGCTGGCGCATTTACCGGCGCTCTTCGGAATGCCGCTTGAACATGTAAAAGGTAAAGAATTTCGATGGCAAAGGTACGGTGGCCACGAGTACGGTAATCCGCGTCGAATTTCCATTGACGTCAGTGCGTTCATCGATTACGCTTTACCGCCGTTGGAACGGTAACGGGACCAACGTTGGTCGTCGATATATAAATTTGCGATACGCAACGTGGAAATCTGACCGCCGTTTACCGCCGAGCTGTAAAATCGTGGACTAAAAGTCTCTCGGAGAGGCGAAGAGGTCGTTCTCGTCAGGCCTCGTTGACTCGTTATTCTCGGAGAAACGACCACGCGACCACTGCGACGACGGCGAGGACGGCGACGAGGAGACGATGCAGAGCGTCGCGACGCGGCGGTCTGCGCTGCGAAGTAGGCAATAGCCGACGTCGAGAGGACGGAAACGATGACGTTTAAGCAGAGCGCGGCCAGCTCGTACCGCGTGCGCCAGCTGGAAGAAAACTTGATCGAGTACGCGAAAGGATAACTCGGCGGCTCGGCTCGTTAATGCTCCCCGGAGAAAAGGGAAATTTTCCGTGCTCGTCGTTGGAGGAAAGGAAACCGAGTGCGTCGGTGAAATATCGACGTTGGCCGATATCGCGGTTAATCGTTTATCGAGCAGACGGTCAGATACGACGGACGGTGGAGGTTTTTCGTGCGAGAGAACGCGAGAATCGAGAATAGTTTTATTATCGTCGCATCGTGTTTGCCGACCACTCGTCGTCCAGTTTATTCCCGACAAAGGGTCTCCCCGCTCGTCCAGGGAAAATACGGACGAAAGTTTAATCAACGTCCAATTTCTCCGCGAGAGAAAAGCAGACGTCGGAAGTGGGGAAAGTGTGGGGGTCGCGAGACTCGGCCAATTCGCGTGTCTCTATCGAGGAAGAAGCGATCGCTCGATACGAGATAGCGCCTTCGCCATCGATTCCCTTTCGATCGAAAGGGTTCCGAACATGCGTGCGAGTTTCAAAGTCCGATTTCTCCGGGCTAGAGAGGCGAAACAGAGATTCCCGGCGCGACGACCGCGAGTGCTCGATAACCCGTTCGGTTGCGAATAAAGGGCGGGATTAAATCGCGTCTAAACGCGCGGTATCCTCCTCGGAAACGGAGATTTAGCCGCGTAACTACCGACGACTAACTAACCGACTAGCGAGATTCCGGGGGTTTAAAGACGCGTTGAGCTCGCGCTGAACGCGAAACGTGAAATGTCGAGCGTGGAGCGTGGAGCGTGGAGCATGGAGCGTCGCTCGAAGCGTCGCGGAAAAGGAGAATCAGAGCCGGTGGTGGAGTGCCGGTTTCATTGTTTCGTCGTTCTTTAGAACGCTCTTCGCGTTAACACGTCGCGAATTGGTACAATGCCGGCAGTTTTCTCCTTCGCTCCTTTTTTTTTTTCTTTTTTTTACCACTC